TGAGGTGGAAGCTAATAAACGCAACAGAACTGTATCTGCACTGTCTCGTGGAGTTTTTTGGACTGAACCTGACACCCGAGGACTACCTGTAGTTTATGTTTTATTTGTTTTCTCTTCTTAGCAATCATTTTAGATAATTACTTGGCATGCATAAATAATGGCTTTTTACTTATTTTCTCTTACCAGAGATCCATCAACAACTATAGTTGCAAACTAAAAAAAACAGCTTACATAATACCAACCAGATTACTTCAGGCAGATATCCCTAATCTGGGAATCTTCTAGATATGTTGATCAACTCATGAGCCACCACTGATAACTCTGGGAGCTGAAGTTAACATATCTGGAAGGGGCAGCTGTTTTAAAGGAGCACTCATATTCAAAATTTTGTAAAACTTGAAATTTTCACCTCCAACATCAATCGAGTGAATTCTTCATTGCTGAGAAAAGAGGGCTTCCACTCCTGTTGAACATCACAAACTTCTTTCTGTGCTGAGAATTCTAAACAAGTTAAAATATCTTATTATGAATCTATTAATGACTAAGTCACAGTGCAACTGCCATGAGATTTTTTTTTTAACAAACTTATCTTGACTTCTGTGAGAGATCTACACAGATGAGGGTTCGGAGTTCAACTACACAATGATTAATTTGCAAAATGTATCTTCTCCTTTAAAAAATGGCCTTTAGTTTCCAATATATGCAATGTTGACATTTAACATACAAGTTCTCCTTTTTTCTCTGCCTGCCCTTAAAAGAGGAAGTCACACAGAGTAATCTTTATTCTTTTCTCAGTCCCAAACCTGAAATTTATTATAGTGATAAAATCAGATCAAGAGTGGCTTTTGGTAAGCATATATACACATAAATAAGCACACATACATACAAGTTTTTCACATGTATACATTTATGGGAGCAGTAATCTTAAGGATTAGATTTAGCTGAAATTGGCAACTCTAGATGGACAGAGCGAGGAAGCTGGGAATTATATAGGATTTTGTTTATACAATTTTTTCTATCTATTTTTCCTTTAGAGGTGAATATGTGTAGCTCAGGGTTGAACTGTGGAGTCCGTGGGGTTCTCAGAGCTTGGTTCTTTTCTTGCAAACATTTCATTACCCAGCTAGGTAACATCTTCAGTTCAGAATACAGTGAAGATGTTCAGAATACAGTGAAGATGTTACCTAGCTGGGTAGTGAAACATTTGCAGGAAAAGAACCAAGCTGTGAGAACCCCAAAGACTCCACTATTTTTCCTTTTCAGGTGGGATCATCTTAAATTTAGGATCATCTTCTTATTGGATAAATGTGGCACCTATTTCGGAGGTGGAATCCTTAATTCAGCAGAAGGCAAACTGATGACTACAAATGTTTTGCATCACATTCTCAATCACTGATCATGTTGACAGAATAATTAAAGGTGTAGTTTTCTCCCTACCTTAATAAAAATGCATAAGGCTTGGGTGTGATTAATCAATGGTAAGAAGGAGAAATGTGCTTAGAGTCATCCTTCTCTTTATGCTTTTCTATAGTGCAAGAACCAGGTCCTGTGAGCTTTCTTAAATTCAGTTCTGGATGCTTATTAATAATTGCTACACAATAATTGCTACACAATAGAATACACAATATTCTAGGACATTGCTTAGCATTTAAGTTATTTGATCTGGATCCCATTATAATTGTATGTACAGTATACCTTTATGCACATAAACATGTAACAAAGGAGAAGCAATCATATTTTGAAAAACACACGGAAAAGCTGTATCTTCCAAAGAACTCTCAACTAGTCAATACTTCCAGTTACGTATTATTTGCCTTTAAAAACATGCTATTTCCTATCATTTGTGAAGGATCCTTGGCTTGTAATCACTATGGTAAATGTAAAATAATTATAATTAAGAATGCAAATTTTGGCTTTATATCAAAGGCATGGATTTCCAAGATAGTGACTACACACAGCATCCTTTGAACTCATTAGATTCCTTGCATGTCCTGATATTTTCATTAATTAAATGTAATCATTTTAACCAACTGGGAGATTACAGTATGGGATTATCAAACTTCCACTCCCACTGCTATTTTCATTAATGTCTCTGGTCTCCACGAAATTTTGGTGAAGTAAAATATGGATGGATTTACCTGCCCTTTCCTTGGTGTGAAAATGTTAGTTGTTTTGCTTATTTGGCAAGTAGTTTTATATATTCTAAGTTTATGTTAAACACCTGCAATCAATTTATATCTGCTCAGAAATAGGCCTAATAAATAGAATCAGACTGCAAACAATTTTTGTTCTAGACACACATAAAACAGCATACTGTGGTAGCTTTGATTTATGTGCAAAAGGTACACAAGAGCAGAAATATTTTCTATTTTTGTACTGTGCTTAGTTATAAGCACATAATAAATAAAATAACCAACAATTACTACTACAGTGTGTGTGAGAGATGGCATTTTGGTTGCATGTATGTGGAATGGATATCACCAAGTTGCCTTATAAAATTAATAGCTGGAGAACAAAACAGTGGATTCAGAAGAGTGTTTGATGTTCTGGACTTCCAACTCCACATCTACCTTTCAATATGCCTTCCAGGAAATAATGGTTTTGTTATTTGCAGTAACAACAAAAGCAGTCATTTTATGAGAGTAGTTATGACTCTCTCTCAAAATTCCAATTATATCTGTTCGAAATGTTAATTTCTGGCAAAGACTGAGGCTAAATTGGAGTTTGTTAAAATGTATTTCCTGAACAATTTATTTTAAATAATAGAGTAAATGTAAAATATTTCAAATTTGACCCATCTCAAGTTTTAGATATCTTGTTACAAACAAAGTGTTTCAAAGCAGAGCTGTTAGGAATTGAAAGACCTCCAAATGATCAGTGATCCCTTTCAAAGGAAAATAGTTGTTTTTAAATAAAAAACACTTTAGTTTTTTAGTTTCAGTAAATTATTTGCACTCTACTTTTAATAACAAAACAAACTGAGAACTGAATGGATTATAAGACAACACAATAGGGTTGTTTCAGATGGTTACCATTGTGTTTCTGGAGAAAGCCAATGACTTTTTCAAGAACTGTAGTTTTGTCCATTTTACGTGTGTTTCCAGGAAGCATTGAGCCGAGCTCCTTAATGAGAACATTGAACTGGTCACGCCTCTTCTTTTCAGACTTATTACGTGAAGCTCTATGAACAGAATGAAATTGTTAATAGACACATGACATGGAATTACTATGATCTGTTCTTAAGAAAATTAGTTATTTACATTAGAATGAAATAAACTAAAAGACAACAAGAGCCAGGAGAACATAATTGCTTTGGCTAAAAGGATACCATGATGTTATGAATTCAAATTCCTAAAGCTAACATGTGAAGAAAAGAATCCTGCATTCCCCACATTCCTCTGTTCAATGCAAATATAAGTGGGAGAAAGCAACGAGATGCTTAATAACTGACTTCTTTTTATCATACAGCTGTATAGCTTCATTCTTTGAGGAAGCAGAACTCATATTTTTATTTATAACCCTTTAATTTAGTAAATCAATTCCTCATATAGCAATATCTAGTGTTTATTTTAAATATTTACTGTGCCTCCAATCCACAGATGAATCCACATTATTTGCAATAGCTGTTGCTGACATGTTTAAATCTTCTTGCCAAACCTTTGTTTCTCAAGATAATTAGGGCAGCAGTCATGGGCAACTGACATAATAACTCCAATGGAAGAGAATATCTGTAGCTCAGGGCTGAACTGTGGAGTCCTTGGTGCTCTCTCAGCTTGGTTGTTTCCTTACAGAGGTTTCATTACCCAACTAGATAACATAATCTGATGATGTTACCTATAATGAAACATTTGCAAGCAAACAACCAAACTCAGAGAGCACCAAGGACTCCACAACACAATAACTTTTAAACAAACCAATGACTCTGCATAAATAACCCAAATATACTTTAAACAAGCAGCAGTGGCCACTGAAGAGATGCACAAAACGCTATCAATTTCACGATCAGATGAGTTCACAACCTATGCTTGCCATGTCTCTTCTCTGATATGGCAATCAGGTAAAATGGATACATCTGCGTCTATCTTCTTCAGCCTCCCAAATGTTAGCCCTACTTCCACATTCACACGTGTGTGGAAAGCTCAAGAATAGCCCATATGTGCAAAACATCTGTTGAAACCATGTTGTCACTAGATTTTTGTTAGACTGTGTGTATACACCATATTTAGGTGGGCCTTCAGTTCATTGCTGAACATGCAAAGCTAGTGAAAATTGGGCAAGTATACATCATAAGAGAGAACTGATGCATAATCTGCCCTTTCTATGTAAAAAGCCAATGAAGAAAAGGGAGCCAACAAAACTGCTATTATGTCAACGAGTGTCACGGAAAAAAGGAATTTAACCTGATTAGTAAACACTAGTGCAGTGGCACAGATAAATGAAATAATGAACAAATAATGATTTCCTCTAATGTCCATCTTCCCTCCTTCCACAGAGATATACATTAGTTCCCCATGCTGTTATATCTCTCCATGCACAATGTATGTTATATGATGCTTAAAATACATTTTAATGTTGCTTGGATCCTAGAGGTTGAAGCCTACAACTTTGCTAAAAGGAACATGGTGATTATGGCTGGAGAGAAGCTCTGGATGAAGTGTGGTAGACTCTATCTGAAAAACCTATGAGCAGGACTATTGCTAACAATCAGAAAAAATGGCAATGAACCCCATTTGTGGGCTAATGAATCAAGCTTTTGAACCGTTATCATTTGTCTTATTGATGAGTAGAAGAGCTCATCAAATGGAAGATTTTCCATTCTGGTTCCAAATGGGAGAAAGTAGAATACATACAAAGCAATGGGAGGTGCCATAATCTTGGTAGCCAAGTCAGTTCATGACAAAGCATATTTAATACTTGCTTAGCAAAACAAGTTGCTTCCATCAGAAAAACAGACTATTTGTGTCTGGTCCTCTGGCAAATGAGATACAAAGGAAGTTATCTTTTATAACAGAAAATGGTTTCCTGAAAGACAAGGACTTTATTATTGTGTGCATGTTAAGTCTAATCCCTTTAAGGAAAAAACTTAATATTTAATATTTACCGCTTTGTAGCTGCAGAGTGGCTTTCACTAATAGTTTGCTTTTTGTATGCTAAAAGATTTAACTAGGAATAAAAAAGTCTTCAGTCGCATTGTTGTATTCTCATGAAGTCTTATATGGCTTTAGGCAAGTCATTCTCCCACAGCCTCCAATATGGCAGGTCATAATACAGAATTATTTTATAGATTATTTAAATTAAAATCAGATAATGCATTGAAGACTTAAGTATAAATTAATATATTTTATTGTATTAGTTTAATTTTTTTCAGATATTAACTATAGTACATTTTTAGAAAGACATTGCTTAATCTCTGAAGAAATTGAATGCTCAGTGCTGCTCTTCATGAATTTGTTAAAGCAGGATGTTTGCATCCTGCTTATAAATAGCTGTTTATCATCTAGGAAACTATTCTTTTTCATAATTGGTATTAGACTGTTTTCTATTTCTATTTCTTTTTTTAATCGCTTTGTGGCTTCTTTTCTCAAAAAAAAAAAAAGAATGGCACAAAGCAGCTCTGGAGATTCTACTGTTTTTTTCAAATGTTATCAGACTCCTCCTCCTCCTCCTGCTCCTCTTCTTCTCCTCCTGCTCCTGCTCCTCCTCCTCCTTCTTAAAAAAAGCTAAGTTGAACAGAAAAATAAGTTTCCCCAAAAGCTGACTACTCACCTCTTTGCTCTGTCTTTCTCATCCTCATCCATCAGATTGTCTGAGCAGTGTTTTCTGCTGAAAAATTCAGAATAGTTGTAATATGTAATTGATATTCACTAGATTTCTTTTATGCTTATTTTCAAGCAAAATCAACGTGCCATTACTTAATTCATTGTGACATTAAATTCATTTTAAGTCAGTAGTTCTATGAATCATCACTCAGTATTCTTGTTTTCTTGCTGTAGTCACACTACAGCCATTTCTGAACAATAATCTTCCTTCCTTCCTTCCTTCCTTCCTTCCTTCCTTCCTTCCTTCCTTCCTTCCTTCCTTCTTCCCCATCCTGATTATGGAAAGATCCCTCAGAAATATATTGAAGCATCCAGAATCTAACTTTTTCCCCAAAGTTCCAACACAAAGGCTACTTGTAAAATAGCATAACAGGAGTGACAACATACAGTATGAGACCCTGTGGGGAGGAACCAGCTCCTGGATATTCAACGTGATATGCAAGTCCCTCCAGTTTTCTTGGCCCATTTTTGGAAGTGATTTGCCATTGCCTTCTTCATAGAAATGAGAAAGAATGACTGGCCCAAAGTTACCCAGCTGGCTTCATGCCTAAAGTGAGACTAGAACTCACGGTCTCCCACTTTCTAGCCCAGAGCCCTCAACCACTACACCAAACTGTCTCTTCTACGCAATTAAGATAAGGCAAAACATAAACATAGGTATTATTGTTTGTTGGGGTGAACACTGCATTTAGATAGATGCAAACAAACAAATATGTAGCATCTGACCACAATTAACCTCTTAGTGGTTCATAAATGGAAGTCAGGGATAGGTCAACAGTGCTGAAAATCCCCAAAGTACTCATTCATAATGTAGCAAGTAAACTCCTAAATTCTCCAGCACTCTTGTTTACTTAACATCCATGCCACCAGAGACTCACAAAATGTTTTCACTCTTGCCACCACAACAGTCTATTGTGTAACTATCTGCAGTAACCCAAACCAAATATGATGATGATGTCCCTTTCTGTATAAGCTAGCATTAAATAGATATCAACTTATTTCTGTACTGTCTTTTAGAATTAACTTCAACCACTGTGTATTTTAGTTAATTTATTTAACTAGAGCTTGGCTTAACATACTTGTTTATCCCAATCCTTGCCATGTGGTGGAATGCAATCCACATGAACAAATGTTTCTGTATTACTTCTTATGAAGCAATTTTTACATCCCCAAACCTTTATTAATGTGCCTAAGAAATATTACTTAACTAAACAAAAAAGCCATGTTTATATTTTCCACTGAAACAGTTTCTGTACTATTTTGAATTATTAAATGGCAATTATTATTCTCTGGATATTGGTTAGTAGTCAATCAAGCAATGTATAAAGTACAATCCTTTCACAGTCAGTGACACCTGGTAAGGCCTGGACAAACAAGCAGAGTTTCTGATAAAAACCTTGTTTGCTTTTATCTTTTTGCCAATGGCATTGGGAACTCTTTGAAAGAAAGGAGTAATGAACTGATAGCCTCATAGCCTTTTGATTAAAATAAAACGTAGTGCTTACTTATGTTCTAACTTTGGGAATTTGTTGATTGATTCAATTATTAGGTCTCCTTCACTCCAGAAAGGACTTGCCTGCCTTATATTACTCTATATAAGTTACAATTTTTGTATATACATTTTTTTGTATAGCCAAAAATGCAGGCTGCTGCTTTCTCCAAGAAGGACATCTACTACTGTAAATGTATATTTAATAATACTATATATATTTGTTAGCTGCAAATGTAAAATCTCTAATTTTTCATCTGTTTCAAAAAATTCACTAATAAAACGGATTGATACATAAATAAAGCTGTGAAGTTTGTCTTGTGGAAAACGGGGTACTTCTGTTACGTTCTAATTAAACTTTTATAGAAAAGAGAGTAGCAAACATTGTAAACTAGTTATCAGTGTTTCTCAACCTTGGCAACTTTAAGAGGAGTGGACTTCAACTCCCAGAATTCCCCAGCCAGCCATGAAACTGCTAGTTATGAATAAAGATATCCATCTGCACACCTCAAGATATGCCTCTTCCCATCCAGCAATGCCAAACACAAAAGAGAAAAAGTAGGTCACTTGGGCAACACTTTTCTTGTGACGCAACTGCAATGGTTGTTTTATAGTCAATGCTTCCTTAGTTGATTGCAGCAATGAAGACTCTATGAAGATTGTCATAGATGATATACAGTCTTTCATGAACACATGATACAGATTTAGCTGGCACATTTAACACAAAAACAAGAGTACCAGCCTGTGAAAAGGTTAAGAAACTGTAAGGTTTGATGAAAGCTCAGATTTTAGAGTATCTGGTATTCAGGAGGTAGGATAAATTATGTCCACCAAATCTATGTCTCATTATATCCATTTCCAAATAGCAACAGGAACATATACACCTAACTTCATATATGTGGCAGAACATGGAGATTCAAGGACAAGCCAGATGTATTGTATACAATCTTTTCCTCTTTAATTTTCACAAATCAGTGCTATGTTGTTCATGGATCTTTAGAAACATACAATAAGCTGTAATTGACCAAAGAGACTTGGTCAATTTAAACATAAAGTTAAAAAAAAATGTATATCCAATAATGTTGCATTTGTTCAAATTTGCAGTACAGTTCTCTTGAAAAATCCAAGTAGTTTTGGAGTGAATAGTGGAAAACATACAGAATCTGGTCTTTAATTGCATGAATACATAAAAAGCCACAATCTGATGCTTTGCTTCTATTAGGCTTAATATATAACTATTAAAAAGAAGTTTGCCAATGGATTGTACATTTATATTTACTTCAGTTCTTAGTATTGATAAAATTATAATGTAGCACTTTGTATATAAAAGAGTGCACATCTTAAAATAGCTGGTTGAAGCAGAGAGCAAATTATATGAGATGAATAACTCCTGCAAGCACCCTGTATGTATTTTCTGAATCATCAGTACACTTAAAAGTCACTTCCACAGAATTAGTCTTATACTACATAAAATTGAAGATAACTACTTGAATGCAACATTTCAAACTATTCTGAAATAAACATACATTGTGAACAATGTTTGTACAATCTGTCCCTTACGTCTCAAGAGAGCTTACAGGATACAGACAAACTGATAAAAATAAAAAACAACACCATACAGCATAAAAATCATATTTAAATTTGAGATAAAAATTAAATTTATCAGATCAAAAGGATTAATAAAACACAAGAGCTAAATTGATTTTAAAATATAGCAAGCCTGGGATTTTTCTTAAAAAGGCTTTTTTTTAAAATACATTATTGTGGGCATGATAGGACCTTCTGTTGAGGGCATTTCACAACAAAGAACTTCCACTGAAGGTGTTTTTCATTAACAGATTCCTACTGCATCTTTCCTGGCAGACATATCCAGAGAAATAATGATTTAGAGACACTGACACAAAGACATTGACATTATTAATGTAGTGGCTAACATAATAGGCCTTTCTGAATGACTGAGTTCTTATCTATCCATCCATGAGCTGGCAGAAAGCTATACCAGCATAAAATTCCAATCTGTATCCTGCCTCAACAGATTCCACTGTGGCTTGCCACCAAATTGTGATATCTGGATTCTGGATGGACAGGGCATGTTAAGCAAAGTCATTGCTATTCTCTCCCTTCTGAACAATACCAGCCAGCAGGAAGCCATATGCCAATCATAGCACTGCTTTGATTGGCACATGGTTTTGACAGATGGCTAGACTTGCAAGTTTAGCCATTTGTCAAAACCTAGAACCTCCCCAAATTTGCTAGGCAACTGATAGTAGGGTGGCCTCTCTTACTTTATTAATAAGCCACCAGTGCTCCTCAGAACAATTGTCCAATAGATGTTTGTTTTGACAGATTTAATCCAGGTTTACTACATCTTTTGATCATATCATTTCAAAGAAATGTTGAATTCAATTTATTCTTCCATGCAACTACAAATATATCTATGCATACTGTCAACAAGGATGATCGTTTTCCAACTTCTCATCTCATTATTCTTTTAGGATATACACTGTCCTATAGTACAGGAGGACAGAGATTTAAAAAGTATGCTACTTTATTGTATGCATAATTCCAGTATTTTCTCTGGTAGAGCTTCAAAATTACTATTTCAAAAAATTCTTAAAGTTCAACTTAAAGTGAAGCTTCATTCTTCATGATATGTATTCCATTTGGTAGATAACTATAACATACATGAGTTAAGTTTTAAATTAAGGCATTGGTCATCATGCAGGATCTTAATGTTTACTTAGTGCTTAGTTTAAAATTAGAGAGCCTCTTGTTTTCATGTATCTTCATTTATGCATGTAATTTTCACATGTAGAGCAGGTTTTTGATCTAGAAAGACATGCTTTAGGACATTCAATTAGTAAAAAGTAATAAAACTAAAACAAAATTATTTTAAAAGGGGATTCAACACTTCCCAAAAAAGAATAGAAAAGAACAGAACAGGCTGAACTACATACAAACACATACAACACATACAAACTATAGCAATAGGGATAGATAAAATATATTAGATAGATTATATATATTATAAACTGAGTTCAGACAGGAATCTATATACTACTAAAACTTTCATGTCTGTAACCTTCAACTGGGCGAAATAGTGCATCACCTTGGTTCAAAAATTTTTGAACCAAGGTACCTCAAATGAGCTAACTTATAGAATGTGTCCAAAATCTGGGGCCCATTACTCCTGCAGGATTGAAATTTGGGGAATTTGTGACTGCTTCAGCATTGCTATGCTGTTGTGCCACCATGATCAGCCCAGGTCATGTGATTGTCATGGGCTTATCCCCAACCTATTTCCCGCCTCCCTCTGTCCCCTGTGCCCAATCGGCTGGCGGCAAGGCCCGATGTGTGTGTGGCAATTGGCTGTTTCAGAAATGAGGCAGAAATTTGAAATCTCTTAACAGTTGGATGAGGGAGCGATTTTGATACCTGCTGGAGAGTTAGGGCTGGCGG